CAGGTCTAAGTCTCATGGCCCTCTATCAGAATTTGGGAAGATTGGAGAAACTTAATTTTTCGCCCAAAAAAAAAACGTAAGGGGTACCACTGTCGTTTTTTTTTTCGGGCCGAATTTTTGAGTTTCGATATCTCAGCTCTGGAAGGGGCTAGAGCCTCCATTTTTGCACTCAGGTCTAAGTCTCATGGCCCTCTATCAGAATTTGGGAAGATTGGAGAAACTTAATTTTTCGCCCAAAAAAAAAAACGTAAGGGGTACCACTGTCGTTTTTTTTTCGGGCCGAATTTTTGAGTTTCGATATCTCAGCTCTGGAAGGGGCTAGAGCCTCCATTTTTGCACTCAGGTCTAAGTCTCATGGCCCTCTATCAGAATCCAGATTTGGGAAGATTGGAGAAACTTAATTTTTCGCCCCAAAAAAAAAACGTAAGGGGTACCACTGTCGTTTTTTTTTTCGGGCCGAATTTTTGAGTTTCGATATCTCAGCTCTGGAAGGGGCTAGAGCCTCCATTTTTGCACTCAGGTCTAAGTCTCATGGCCCTCTATCAGAATTTGGGAAGATTGGAGAAACTTAATTTTTCGCCCAAAAAAAAAAAACGTAAGGGGTACCACTGTCGTTTTTTTTTTCGGGCCGAATTTTTGAGTTTCGATATCTCAGCTCTGGAAGGGGCTAGAGCCTCCATTTTTGCACTCAGGTCTAAGTCTCATGGCCCTCTATCAGAATCCAGAGTTTTGGGAAGATTGGAGAAACTTAATTTTTCGCCCAAAAAAAAAAACGTAAGGGGTACCACTGTCGTTTTTTTTTTCGGGCCGAATTTTTGAGTTTCGATATCTCAGCTCTGGAAGGGGCTAGAGCCTCCATTTTTGCACTCAGGTCTAAGTCTCATGGCCCTCTATCAGAATCCAGAGTTTGAGAAGATTGGAGAAACTTAATTTTTCGCCCAAAAAAAAAACGTAAGGGGTACCACTGTCGTTTTTTTTTTCGGGCCGAATTTTTGAGTTTCGATATCTCAGCTCTGGAAGGGGCTAGAGCCTCCATTTTTGCACTCAGGTCTAAGTCTCATGGCCCTCTATCAGAATCCAGAGTTTTGAGAAGATTGGAGAAACTTAATTTTTCGCCCGAAAAAAAAAACGTAAGGGGTACCACTGTCGTTTTTTTTTTGGGCCGAATTTTTGAGTTTCGATATCTCAGCTCTGGAAGGGTCTAGAGCCTCCATTTTTGCACTCAGGTCTAAGTCTCATGGCCCTCTATCAGAATCCAGAGTTTTGAGAAGATTGGAGAAACTTAATTTTTCGCCCGAAAAAAAAAACGAAAGGGGTACCACTGTCGTTTTTTTTTTTGGGTCGAATTTTTGAGTTTCGATATCTCAGCTCTGGAAGGGTCTAGACTCAACGCATCTCTAGAAGAACTTGTTCCACTTCTCTGTTAGTTCACTAAATTGCATAATAACGTTGGATGTTTTTTCAGCAGCTTCCTCAAAGTCTTCTCATCTACTAGCATCCAAACATAGCATAAGAGTATAGAATGCCAGAGCTGACTTCATTAAAAATAAATAAATACATAAATAAATTTACAAAGAAATGTAAAAAAGCAAAAATACATAAATAAATACATAAATAAATATACAAAGAAATGTAAAAAAGCAAAAATACATAAATAAATACATAAATTAATATACAAAGAAATGTAAAAAAGCACAAATAAATGACTATTTGTACTTTTATTTCTTTATTTATGTATAATTGTATTTTTCACAGTTATTTATTCATTTATTGATTTATTTCTACTCTCTAATTCTTTATTTCCTCATTCATTTATGTATTTATGTTTTTATGTCTACATTTTATTTATTTTCACATTTATTTATTTCCACATTTATTTATTCCAATATTTCTTTCTCCATATGCTAATGAGGGGGGCGTGTTTTAACTCATGAGCAATCGAGCTCAGAGTGGCAGTGCTGAAGCTTTGAGGCCACAGTGACACCTTGTGGTGTGTGACCAACCGAAACGCAAGAGCTGTGTGGGCAATTTCACATTATGTATATATAATATAGACCATTTTGCAAGATGTAAACAACACTGGTCCATAAACACTTCCTGTTTCAGTTTGTAACTGTTTTCTTTATTTCACATGTAAAGAAAAAATCTTAAAGATGTTTGTTTAACTTTTTGATTTAGTTGTATATGTTCTGTTGGTTGTATTTTATCCCAGCTTTTATGTAGTGTTAAAAAACTGAAACAGGAAGTGCTTCATCTTGCAAAATGGTCTATATACGTCATGTATATCACCCTAACAGCATGTAGGCTAGGGCGCTAGGCTATATAGGGATAACACACATAGCACACATGAACAGAAACTGCACTTCAACAGGTCTGATAGCAGACACTTGGACATGAAAGCGCATGAAAGTATCCACTATTAATAACAATGTAAATGCGGTGGATAGGGCTGATAGTGCAGAACGTGGACAGAAACCAACGCACATTTCACTGAAGGCCAATTTATACTTCTGCGTAGGATGCGCGCAGTAGGTACGGCGTAGCATGCGCACAGACGCGTACCATACCGCGTACCCTTCGCCGTAGCCTGACGCGCACCTCCTCAAAAATGTAACTACACGTCGCGACGACGCGGACCGCAAGATCTGTGATTGGTCGGCTTGGTAGCATCGCATTTCCTCCTACGCATTTCCGCACGTACCATCTCCGACGTCTTCTCTCATTTCTGCCTTTTAGTTTTCGTAATTTCACTAAAATTAACTGTTTTTCCACCTTAATAAGCTCCAACTCCAACATGATCCGCTCTCTTTCAGTCGCCATTGCTTGTAGTAACCTAGCTGCGAGGAATCTAAACACAGTGGAACATTAAAACCCTCCGCCGCCAACTAGCGTTTCGGAGCAGTACTGCAGAGCAACCAAGACCTGAACGCAGAAGTATAAATGCTCACAACGGCGTCGTACACTACAGCGTACCCTCAACGCAGAAGTATAAATTGGCCTCGACTCCTACGCAAGCATACGCGGTTTATATTCGCATTTCCTAATTTCGTATGCATAACAGGTAACGATTCAAATGTTTAATTAAATATACATTTCTTCATATATTTATTTATTGTTAATTAAGTCAGCTTTAGCATTGAGTGTAGCCATTTGTAAATTGACCGTGTCTAGCCGCCTTTCCACTGCACACGACATTCGCATACGATTGTCGTATTTCGCCCCCTAGTGTCAGTCGCACAGAACTTTGAAATTGGTCGTGAAGCAACCGTTATTCTTGGATATTCACAATGGTAAAATTAATGATTTTAATGAATGTAATGCATGCATAAATATATCTACACAAAACAAATGACCATCAACACATCTCAAATAAAAACATAGTAGATTTTAAAGAGCTAATTAATATAAATATTGATTTAATAATTATAAAATATGTTTCTGCTATAGTTAATTATAACCAATATTTTACAGAAAGAGCGTTTACAGAAAAACATTAAAGAGTTAAAATATTTGTAATTCTATAGCCTCGCGCTCATAGTTTTTATTAGAATACATCACTTCCGGTCCGCAGAAGTTCAGATATTTCAACGGATCCAAAGCTCAAATCGGATCCGAATTTTTCGCATACACATATGATCGGAACTCCCCGCAGCTCCCGTACGACTCTCCATTGGAAATGAATGACTTCCGGTCCGACGGCGATCGTTTGTCGTGTGCAGTGGAAAGGCGGCTTCTGGCTTCCAGTGTCGTTCGCTTTGTTATTTTCAGCTGCACAAAACGGCTGGTTATGCTGCTCACCATAATACTTAATGTATTGTTGTAACTAAAAACATTGGTTCATAGCGTAAATAGTTTAGTATATTCATAGAAAACGGCGAAATACGATGGATATAGTAGAGGGCTGTTTGAATTCACAAGGCGCGAAACTAAATTATATGAGTGCAACGACTCGTTTCATTCTAGGCATCATCACAGTAAACCTAAATTTCTGGCTCAAAACGAAAGCACACAATACGGCCAGATCAAGTCATTGAGCTTCATCACAGGAGGACATGGAGAAGAGCGATAAAGCTTTGAGGAGTGTGAGGACTCCACACCCACCATGAGTTGAGGCTTGATAACTGGTGTGTGTGAACTAGAGGACAAGACGAGACGAGAGCGCGCCCATAACAATACAACACTGCCACACGTAACATACGCAGAACACAACTACACACACACGGCAGTAAAAAAAAATACTGTGACTAAATGATTTTAAAGCACCATTACGATCAATCAACACTTCCCGTGCACTTCAAAAGTAAATATGTTTGAATATATCATGTGTGACACATGACTACTGTATGCTGACAACAAAAGTTGTGACAGTCTGAAAGGCTTGGGACACACTGAACACAAACAAACTGCATTCATGGGCAAACTCTTATCTGACACTAAAGCCGGACTTTCAGCCGAGTAGGAAATGTGCTGCATCAACTCCTTGGTGGAACTCAGTTGCAAAGCATGATGGGAAATTATTTTGAGTCACTAGCTGAGCATTTTCCCCTATTGTCTTTACAACAAATCTTCTCTTCTAAATAGAGAAGAATATTTCCATTCACAGCTTTAGGAAAACACCTGAAGGGTAATTCAGCAAGGTACTTCCTCGTAGCAACAATGACATGTTGTATAACCACCGAATGGCCTTCCATGACCTAAATAAGAGTTTCCAAGTTCAATATGTTTTAAAATGTCATTTATTCCTGTAATTTATACATGTAATTTATCAAAGCTGTATTTTCAGCTTCATTACTCCAGTCTTCAGTGTCATTATTTTATTATGTTGAAAATGATGTTTTTCATGCATTTGATGAATAGAAAGTTCAAATGAACAGCATTTATTTGAAATTATAAATGTCTTTACAGTCACTTTTGTTCAATTTTATATATCTATGATGAATAAATTGTTTATCTAAAAACAATAGAAATAGTCTATTTGTATCTATATTAATATTTTGCAACACATTTAGCAATTGTTGTGTTTATAGTTCAGTTCTACTAATCATGAATTTATCATTATTTATATACAAGCAATATTCATTTATTCGGCAGAGTTTATTCATTCTCTCGTCAAAGATGCTAAAGAACATGAACCTGCCTTTTTTTCTGAATTATTTATTTGTTGTGCTTCAAATCAGATTACAATGTTTTTGATCCATAAGGCAAATGGTGGGTTTTGGTTTCTGTCTGTTCTCCCTATTGTCCTCTTAAATAAAAATAAATCCCAGGAAAGAAGATACTTCCAACACCAATAAAGGTCACTGAAAGAGAGTTTTACCACATATTCATATTCATAAACATGAAACTACACTGTTGAGTAAAATCATTAATGTTTTAAGTGTCCAAATAGATTTGGGGGCGGTGCATTTGAAAATATATGAATCAAAACTTCAAACTTGTGAGTTTACACAGCTAATCTGTTCTATATAATATTATTGTTGTGATTATATAATGCAGTGATGTCTGTTATTGTTATTAATAAAAGGTAATGAACGTTCAATGAAACATTTCCCTTCTCCTCAAATAACTCCTTCCACAGAAAAGGAAGTACACAACATCACGGGGCCTTCCTCTTCAGTCTGCTGACAAAAGGCTTTCTTTTCTGCTTCTTTAAGACAACACTATAGGGCTTTTCGTAGTTGAACTAACCCTGGGCCATCCTGCTCATAATTTAACAGTGAACCCTGCGTATTCAGAAGCTACCGTTTCACACTTTACATTCTTAAACCTTGGATTAGAAAGGCTTTTCACAATATATAATACAAAGAGGATGTGCAACGCTAGAGCCTTTATGTAATCATACTATAGCGCCCGGTGTTCGTCCCATCAACGATACTGACAACACAAATATGCAAATGAGGACGTTAACCCAGGGTTTGGGAATGTACAGTACAGTGTGAACATCTGCGTGTGATTACTCAGGATTGACTGTTAACCCGGACTATATTATGAGCGGTGACATTACCTGCCCAAAAAATGTTTATTTTTTTTTTTCATGTTTCTAGCATGTTATATGTTTGGAAACAGTTCTTCTAACCATAATTGATGGAGTGTGTAGTCCACATCACGGCCATATTCCACGATGACAATGTCAAAATTCATTAGGCAGAATGATCTCATGAAATGGCGCATGTATGACACGCCAATTCATATTTCCATTTTCGGCGTGCTATCAACAGACATAATCCCTTTTCAGCATGTTTATGAATGGCGTTGACTTATCGTTACATTACTGTATACATAAATATTAGGGCTGTCAAACGATTAATCGCGATTAATCACATCCAACATAAAAGTTTGTGTTTACATAATATATGTGGGTGCACTGTGTATAATTATTTTATATATTTAAATAGACACACATGCTTGTATATATTTAGAAATATTTTCATGTAGTACTGAATATAGATTTATATATAATTTATATTATATATAAATATCTGTATTTTATATATAAATAATATTTTTTCGTAAATATACATGTATGTGTGTGTATTTACATGTATATACAAAATAATTATACACAGTGCACCCACATGTATTATGTAAACACAAACTTTTATTTTGGATGTGATTAATCGCGATTAATCGTTTGACAGCCCTAATAAATATATGACCCACCCCAACCCCGTCCCTAAATCCTACCCGTCACTGGGGTTAATAGCATTTATGAGTCTTCCCCTACCATCCTAGGAAAAAAAATATCCCTCCCCAGATGTAGATCTACATTTTGCTTTGTTTCGCTCGGGAATTTAATGGCGTGTACATACAAGCGGAATCACTCGGACATTCAACGGTGTAGACATACAATGCATACACGAGGATTGCTCAAAATGCGTATAGATAACGTGTTTACGCAAATTTCATGATTTCATGTTGACCTGGCCAAAAAAAAAGAAAAAAAAGAAAAAAAAGAAAAGAAGATCGCTGTTTGGATTTAAATACGCAATTGCTTATGAGTCAATTATTGGATCATTATTGCAGTGATTATTATGTTTCTAACATGTTATATGTTTGGCAACAGTTCTAACCATAATTGATGGGGTGTGGCTTTTCATTTCTTAAACAACCATGTATGAAGACACATCATGACCATATTCCAGTACGACAATGTCAAGATTCTACGGAGGCGTATTGCATTCACTTGAAGAAAAAAAAATCTACTCTGTTTTTCTGAATTAACGAGTTAATTTTTCATGAGAAAAAAAATTGCTCTGTTTTTCTGAATTAATGAGTTAATTTTTCATGAGAAAAAAATTTTTTGCTCTGTTTTTCTGAATTAATGAGTTAATTTTTCATGAGAAAAAAAAATTTGCTCTGTTTTTCTGAATTAATGAGTTAATTTTTCATGAGTAAAAAAAAATGTTTGCTCTGTTTTTCTGAATTAATGAGTTAATTTTTCATGAGAAAAAAAGTTTTTGCTCTGTTTTTCTGAATTAATGAGTTAATTTTTCATGAGAAAAAAAATTGCTCTGTTTTTCTGAATTAATGAGTTAGTTTTTCTTGAGAAAAAAAAGTTTTTGCTCTGTTTTTCTGAATTAATGAGTTAATTTTTATGAGAAAATGTATTTTTGCTGTTTTTCTGAATTAACTCATTAATTCAGAAAAACAGAGCAAAAAAAAAAAAATTCCATTAAAAATTAACTCATTAATTCAGAAAAACAGAGCAAAATTTTTTTTCTCATGAAAAAATTAACTCGTTAATTCAGAAAAAGCAGAGCAAAAAATTTTTTTCTCATGAAAAATTAACTCATTAATTCAGAAAAACAGCAAAAAAAATTTTTTCTCATGAAAAATTAACTCATTAATTCAGAAAAACAGAGCAAATATTTTTTTTCTCATGAAAAATTAACTCGTTAATTCAGAAAAACAGAGTAGATTTTTTTTCTTCAAGTGAATGCAATACGCCTCCGTAAGATTCATCAGGTTTAAACTGTGAAAGAATGGTTGTGAGGAGCATGAAGAATCATTTTCACTTCTGAGCCCAGACGTTAAATTCACTGAAAGTGTTTGGGATGTGCCGAAGGACGCTTTACAGACTCTTGCATTGACAATACAAGATCCTGAGCGAACATTGATGCACCTTTTGATAGAAATAACATCACAGCATCTATTTCCATAGACCGCTGATGTAGCATATTTGTTTTATGAATTAATTTAATTGATTTTAAAACATCTGGTATTTTTAAAAGATATCATTTAAACTAAGATTAAAACTAATCAAACATATGGAATGTCCCCGCTGACACACACAATGCATACCTGTAAAGCGAGGGGGAGAGAGGATCACTTGTGGGAGATCTTAGTAAGACATTCATTTTTTAAAATGAACGATGAAACCATTTAATTTATATACTTTTAAATGAACAATGTTTTTCAACTTCAACTCCGTTAGTGTGAAATGTTATATTTGTAAATTAATAATTGCACATTTATTACCATTTCATTTATATACTTTTGAAGATCAATGTTTTTCAACTCTAGTTAGTGTTAAATAATATATTTTGTAAATTACTAGACGTAAATTTATAACTATTTTCATTTATATAGAGCATAATGTTTAGTGTGAAATATATGATATATATTGTCCTCACTTGAAGGGGTATAATGTAACACACACACACAGAGAAAATAAGTGTGAGAGGGACTTAGAGAGGTCTAAAGTAATTTATTGCCATTTCTTACACTCAGGCACACACACATATACACACACACACACACACCACTCCGGCCATGCATGGGTGAGAGAGAATCACAGGGAGATCTTCACAACTTTAAACTCATCTTTTGTAAACCATCCATGTATTGTATGGACATCTTAGGAACTACTTTGTCAACCAGCTGGAAAAGTAAGATGGTTTTATTTTTGTGAACCATTTAGCAAGCCTGTATGTTCTATAAAACATGTTGTATTATTTTACAATGAATGATAAAGCATTTTATTGATATTCTTTTAAATGAACCATGGTTTCAACTTCAGTTAGTGAGAAAAAGATTGAACTTTTTTTCAGCACGGGCTGCCGAGGGTGTCCTGTGTCTCACTTCCACAAACAGACATACAGATGCTGCTGTCAAAAGGTCAATTAGAGAGAATTCTTTTTCAACATTATCTTCAGATAAAGTAAGATGCTTTTTTCACATCATATTTAAATAAAACACGGTTTCATTTTTTAGCTCGTGTGAGATTTTCTCTGGGTGAAGGAATGTTCAGCCATCTCACACAGGCCCTGTCACAGATGCTAGCACAGAGGCCGAAGGCCGATGAGAGAATCAGAGGGGGATCATCAACACTCAAGTAAGCTGCTTTTTTAATTTACAGACCATATTTATATGTGATATGGGCATTATTAGAAAATTATTCTGACAACATCAGGATGTTGTATAACCAATTCTTCTGAAGTTATTTCCCCTAAAGGGTCAATAGGTCAGTAACATCATGTCAGTTTGATCTAGAACACACAAAAACATCACTAGGGTCAAACTATCCAATTGATTGATCGCGTCCTGGGATCACTGGGTCAAAAACCAGAATGTTCCCACAGATGTTCTCGATTAGAAAAAGGTCAACAGGTCAAAACCAGAATGTTCCCACACATGTTCTCGATTAGAAAAGGTCAGTAGGTTAATTGATATTCCAGAGATGGAATGCAAAAGGTCAACGGGTCAAAAACCACCTGTCCGTTTGATTGATCGATAGGTCAAAGGTTAATCGATATTCCAGAGATGGAATGCAGAAGGTCAACGGGTCAAAAACCACCTGTCCATTTGATTGATCAATAGGTCAAAGGTTAATCGATATTCCAGAGATGGAATGCAAAAGGTCAAAGGTTTATGACTACTTCAAAGATGGAATCCGGAAGGTCAAAGGTCAGCTCCGCCCCTGTCAATCAAAAAGCAATAAATCACTTTGACACAAGCCGTAGGGTTATAACTACTAACGTATTTGAACGTTAGGCTAACGTTAGCCTAATATTAGAAAGCGTTAACGTTAGCTTCTAGCTGCGTTGTACACATGACATGTCACTTAGCTTCATTAACACATCTGAAAATATCCGAGATGACAAACGTTAACAATGTTGTGCTGATTGATTCATGTAAATACTGTAACACCAAACGGTGATGGCGACGATATGCGGTTTATCACGTTTACATTGTGATGTGTACATTTTTGCCTGGAGCTGAAGCTTTTCATTGACCTTCTCAACAATAAAATTATTAATATAACCCTCCAATGCATAGTTGAGGCCCTTTAGGTGACTTTGAGATGATATATAATTCCAAAAATCTGTCTCCAAAAATCACCAATTGCCTCCTGTGAAATGTCTCCTACGGTGTTCGCTGCCATAGCGCCTGTCCCTGAATGTTGACTGTGTGTACTGGTGAGTGGAGGGGGCGTGGCTTAGCCATAAGTCAATTGTCAATGCAAGAGTCCAGCTCGCTGTAAAGCGTCGTCCAGCACATCCCAAACACGTTCAGTGAATTTGCACATTTAAATCTGAACAGCAACTTTTTTTTAGGCCAGGTAGTGTATGTCAAGTATGAAAAGTCCTATAAAGGCTCTAACATTGGCCATCCTCATATTATATATTGCCGGCAAATGTACTATCAAGTTTATCCTGAATGGACTCTTCTTCACTCCAATAGACACGTTTAACCCCTTCACCCGGGGTTAAAGTCGGAGTTTAGAATGACGACAACCCAGGAGAAAAGCCATAATGTGATGAATATATTATTGATGATCTACCTGGAGATTTATAGAGGACACCAGTCATGGTCCCTGCAACAATGGTGTTGAGGTCATCCTCTGCCCCTCTGGCTTTCTCTATGATCACCCCGAATGCACTGTACAGCAGAGCTAAACACATACATTTATATGCATATCATGCATGCAACACAGCATTAATATGACTTCTAAGTGAAAATTGAAATTATTTCTGTTTGAAATGAGTCGACTACAAAGGTTATGAGGGTGAAGGAGGCTGACACTGGGTAACTCACCTACTGAACCCAAAGTGTTCGCCCATGTGGCGCCTTGGCGGGTCACCATATTCAGGATTCTGAATCGGAGAGAAGGATATAGATTAAGATCACTAATGACTTTGGTTCTAAAACATCATATACAGAAGTTCAAATGTTTTAAGCACAAAACAATTAAAATAAGTCGGTCTTGGGAAATGGCTTCCGAGTCCCAACAATATCATATTAACAAAAGGGCTGCTCTTTCTATAGGTTTTCTCTCTACGCATATTTTTGGACCAATATACATGAATCAGTAACTGTTGATTCAGGTTGAGATGTTCACTAACAACTTCCTCGTCCTGTGTGAGTGTGTGAGAATCCATGATGTCCGGCTGATCCTGCCAGTGTGAAGTCCTGCACGTAACGGCAGACTTTGAGCCGTGTGCTCACACAGATATCTGCATGTGACCAGCGTTTGAACCACATGATGCTTTGGGTCGCACAGCTGTGTACACACATTGACTTAAAACCGCAGTCTAGCCGGGGTTATTGATAACGTTTAAAAACCAAAAGGCAAAGTCGAGCAGCGCTTCACTATATGATCGCATTTAGTACTTTGAGAGACAAATATTTTTAAATTGATATGATTTATCCAGGCCTGATAATAGCAGCAAAAACACAAATATACACTACCAGACAAAAGTTTTGGATCAGTAATAGATAGGGCTGTGAAAATCCAAAATAAAAGTTTGTGTTTACATGATATATGTGTGTGTAGTGTGTATGATTAATTTGTATATATAAATACTAACACATGCATGTATATATTTTAAAAAATGTGTTGTTAATATATCAAATATTTATATTTATATATAATATTAATTGTGAATAAATATATATAAAATATATACAAGCACATATTTCTTAAATATATACAAGCATGTGTGGGTATTTATATATACAAATTAATTATACACAATACACACACATATATTATGTAAACACAAACTTTTATTTTGGATGCGATTAATCGTGATTAATCGTTGCCCATCCCTAAAGATTTATAATATTTTTTAAAAAGTCTCTTCTGCTCACTTCTGCTCGCATTTATTTGATGAAAGAACAAACCAGAAACAGTCATAATGTTTAATATTACTATTTTAATATATTTTTAAATGTATTTTATTTCTGTGATCAAAGCTGAATTTTCATCATCATTACTCCAGTCTTCAGTGTCACATGACCCTTCAGAAATCATTCTGATATGATGATTTGCTGCTCAAAAAAAACATTCATTATTATTATCAATGTTGAAAGCAGTTTTGTACAATTTTATTTTCAGGATTCTTTGATAAATAGAAAGTTCAATAGAACAGCATTTATCTGAAAAAGAGCCTTTTGTAACATTATAAATGTCTTTAGTTTAATTGATCAAAAGTTACACTATTGATTTAATTTATTTCATTCCCCCAACTTTCTATTTTTATCAAAGAATGCTGAAATAAAATTGCAGAGAACAGTTTTCAACATTGATACTATTAATAATCAGAAATGTTTCCTTAGCAGCAAATCATCATATTAGAGTGATTTCAGAAAGACTGGAGTTATGATGCTGAAAATTCAGCTTTGATCACACTTTACTATACTGTATATTCACATAGAAAACAGCTGTTTAAAATTGTAATAATATTACTGTTTTTATTTTTAATCAAATAAATGCAGCCTTGGTGAGCAGAAGAGACTGAAGGGGAACCAACTGTAGTGATATCAGAATTAAATGTGCGTCTCAATCGGCCATCTTAATTTTTTCAGTCAGATTTTGCTATAGAAGAAAGGCTGTTTTTATAAATCAGAAGATTTCTCTGGGCTTTATTGTTGTTGGTTTGGTTTTCTTTTCCATCATGTGACATCATAACCAACCTATGAATCTCCCCAACTGCCCGCACAAGTTTAATAATTCAAAGGAAAAGTGCATATGTCACCTGACCACAAGACTGTATGTCACCTGACCACACCTTAACCAGGGGATCTTTTTTCACACACTTAAACAGCCTTAAATCAGACAACAGACAAGCTTTGTAGCATGAAGAAAATATAAAAACACAAAGAATAAAAACACATTCAAGTAAATACTAATTAAATAAATAAATAAAAGACTAGGGGTTTTCAGCAAGTTTAACACCCTCAATTAAAGTAGAACAGATTAAGGCATTCCTTTTCTTCATTCGTTTTAATGATAAGAGGTAATGACTCAGTTTCTTATGAAAAAAGTAAACGTTTGGAAGTGTTTTCAGAATCTATTCTTGTGAAAAGGAATTTCGCAAGACTAATAAATGTGTTAACTGCCAAGTCGCGTGATTCATCTTTCATAAACATACCAAATTCTACATTTACCATTGTTAATACAGGTAAATCTTCAAATGTAAGACAATAACCAGTAATGCGAATACTCCCAAAAAGCACATTTACAATCAAAAAACAGATGTTCTGTTGTATCAAATCTGATCAACACAAAAAGAGCATCAAGACCAAATCGAGATCTTAAAATCACACTCCATTAAGTGCACTTGCTTTTGGTGCAACTGGAAATTTAAGATATTTTGTTCTTAAAATCTTACTTTAACACTGCACTGTAAAAAAATAATTGGGATTTTAACAGTAAAAGACTGCTACAGTGCAAAACTGTTAATTGGTTAACTGAAAGTTTCCGTACTATATACGGTAACTAACTGTGATAGATCTCAGGGTACATTTAATGTAATTTTACTGTAAAATACCATTAAATGAACAGTTTTTGAAAGTGAAAAAGAACAACTCATTGTATAATTTATGGTAAGTCTTTAAAACCAATAACGTTGCTACCGTATTTTTGACGGTAAAGATCTGGCAACCACAGCTGCCGTTTTTTTTACCGTAAAAATTATGGTTTTATTTTTTACAGAGTGGAACAATATTGAAAGATTGGATTTTTATTTGACGAAAAAGGATGAAATTCCTTAACAAAGGATTTCCGAATTGTAGTATTGGGTAAATTTAGGTTAGCAAGAGAAACTCCATTCACCAAAAGCTTAGGAACACAGAGGTGACATTACTTTGAGATACGCTGAAAGACATCTGAATTACAGATTGTGCGATTGCTTTGATAATTAGTATGTTATCATACTGTTTTCTGTCGAATAATTCATATTTTGAACAGAAAGTCTCAAAAGACATGACTCCAGTATTATCACATATTCCTTTCTCCCACCATTTTTATTTTATTTTTTTTTTAAATAAAATAAAGATTAAGATTTCTAAATCCCACATATCTGAAATTCCATAAAGGGATGTTGTGAGGACTGAAGTAAAACCTGTTGATGAAACACTTATAACTTAACAGGAAGTTTTTTAAGATCATAATCACATCTATGGAAAAGATTGACGCCAACTTGTTTCATAAAGATTTGACTGGGGATTTCTCAAAAAGGATCTTAGCCAATTCTTTTGAACCTTTAGCAGGAAATACACTCCTGCCATTTGTGTTCCTCTGAACAGCACAGTGAACACTGTGGGGAAACACTGCACTCTGCTGGGGATTGATTGTGTAGATAGATTCAATTCAAGCAATGCAAACTATTAATGCTGCAGATGGCCTGTTTAACCCATCGTCAAGAGTCTTTAAAATGCTATGGAAGCCATTTTCCACCACAAAAGAAAAACAAATCTTTAGTGAATCATAATTTGACAACAATTTTTATGAGAAAGTAAATCAAAATTCAGAGATATTTGAATTTTCCCAGTTTCACAGACAAGGCTTAAGCTAGTCCCAGACTAAAATGCATGTTTGAGCAGTTTTAACTGAAAGCAACTTGCACTGATGCATCTTAAAATACGCCAGTGCCAGTGTTTTGTCCCAAGATGCACATCAGTAATGTTTTTTTTTCTAAGGCATGTTTATAAAAGCTACTCAAATACTCTAATTAAGCTAAGACCAAACCCTGGCTTTATCTAAACCCTGTTTGTGAAACTGGGGGGTAAGTCATAATTATGAGATAAAACATCATAATTATGAGATCCGTAAAAACTCATCTAGAAATTCATTGTTTTACTTTGCATTTCATAATTTCAACCTTTTATCTTCATAATTTATCATAATTATAAACTAATAATTGACTTTTAATCATGAGACAAAAGAATAGATGGTAAATCATAATTCTGAGATCAAAAGTCAATATGACAAAAAAGTATTATTTTTATTTATAACAAAGTCGAAGAATTTAATTCTCATAATTTTGACCTTTTATTTCAAATTAATTTAACTAATAATTGATTTTAAATTATGGACAAGGTCGAGACGAAACTGATAGTAAATCGTAATTAACCGACACTAAGTAATAATTAGTGCGATAATGTCATAATCATGGGATATGTTAAAATTATGAGAGAAATTAGACTTTGTATCTCATAATTCAAAACTTTTTTTTTTCATAAATAATTATTAAATAATAAATGATCAATGCCAAAATCATGAAATGCTATAATAGCTATCAAAAGGTTGAAATTGATATATGAAGTCATAATTATGAGATCAAAAACTCAAAATTATGACAAAAAGTTGAAGAATTTTTATATCATAATTTTGTCCTTTGATCTCATTATCAATAATTGACTTAATCAAAAGTATGAATACTAAACTATAATCATTAGACAAAAGGTTAAAAATTGATAGTAAATCATAAGTATGGAGATAAAAAGCTGACTTTGACTTCAAAACTAGGGTTGTCAAACGATTACTCTCGATTAATCGCATCCAAAATAAAAGTTTGTGTTTACATAATATATGCGGGTGCACTGTGTATAATTATTTTATATATATATATATATATATATATATATATATATATATATATATATATATATATAAATACACACACATACATATATATTTAAGAAACAAATATTATTTATATATTAAATATTGATATTTATATATAATATAAATTACATATACATCTATAAACAGTATATACATGAAAATATTTCTTAAATATATACAAGCATGTGTGTGTATTTATATATATATAAAATAATTATACACAGTGCACCCGCATATATTATGTAAACACAAACTTTTATTTTGGATGCGATTAATCGTGATTAATCGTTTGACAGCCCTAATTAAAACTCATATAGAAATTAATCGTATTACATCGCATCTCATAATTTCGATGAATTCTAATTATGATTTAAAAAAGCATCCATAAGAAGACGTCTTTTAAAGGGACCAAAAATACATTTTTGGTATGTTTTAGCTTACCTCAGGGGCATCCAAGATGTAGATGTCTTTGTTTCCACAGTATTTTCAATTTTGATATTTTTAGGTCAAACCGTTCTTGTCTGTCAGTCATATAATGGAGGTCTATGGTCACCACCTCAAAGAGCATGCACAGAGAAGTCCAAATTAAACATGATTTAATGACTCGTAAATGTAAGAACACATTAATGGCTTAAGACACGAAACGAGCGGTTTGTGTGAGAAAACGAACAGTATTTATATCGTTTTTACCTCTTGTAACCACGGCCACATCCAAGTGATCTGAGGGCGTGGGCGCCAGAAGTGATCTCTCACGCGGTTTTGCGAAAAAATAAAATAAACACTGTTGATATACAGGAAATTGCAGTGGAAGACGATTTCGATATATCTAAATATGTTTAGATCTTCACAGTGAAAAGTAAAACTTCCGAAATCTCTGAGTAAACAATGAATGACGTACACTGGCACACGTTTCTGGCACTTCCACAGTCCGAAGCGCCCGCACCCTCAGATCAGTTGGACGTGGCTGTGGTTACAAGAGGTAAAAACGATATAAATACTGTTCGTTTTCTCACACAAACCGCTCGTTTCGTGTCTTAAGCCATTAATGTGTTCTTACATTTACGAGTCACTAAATCATGTTTAATTTGGACTTCTCTGTGCATGCTCTTTGAGGTGGTGACCATAGACCTCCATTATATGACTGACAGACAAGAACGGTTTGACCTAAAAATATCAAAATTGAAAATACTGCGGAAACAAAGACACCCACATCTTGGATGCCCTTGAGGTAAGCTAAAACATACCAAAAATGTATTTCAAAGTGAACTATCCCTTTAAAGCATCTACTTTTTTTATTGTAAACTGAACTGACTGGCATCTCCATGTGTACGGTTCTGCTGCAGTACTCACTGCACATTGCGAGGTTTGGACCAAGCCAGGTTTCTGGTGTCAGACAAGCCCATTCTAAGCCCATTCACAGCCCCAAACACTGCACCTGTATGCCAATACACACACCGTAAAGCTTGTCAATAAAAATCATATCAAAAATAATAACCAATACTTATCAAAAGCAAATGACATTTGGGCGTGTTTTTCATTTTATTCTGGTAATTTAATTTGTAATGAAAAATGTTTTATTGTACCATACTGTACAACAAAAACGGAAGCATTTTGACTAGTGTATCTATATAATGCGGAAGAACTGACATGTGAGGAAGAAGAGATGAAGATACCTGTGATACAGCATCCTCCTATAGTAAAAAAGGCCAGCTCGAAGCGTCCCCTTGTTTTATTTGCTCCGGTGGGTAAAATGAACTCATCTGTATCCTGTGGGAACATGATAATGACAGCCAACCATTACATGTCATATATTAAATGTAAACACAAAAGTAGCTTATGGCCAGGTCTCACCTGTAAGAGATACTTGGGGTCCACGTTTAGGTATGGAGAGATTGGATTCATGCCTGTCACTGTTCAGAGAAGCAACCTTTAGTAAGATGCTGAATATGGATTAATAATAATAGTTATGGCAGACTTACATGGCACTCCAGCGAGCTCTGTGTTTGAATACTGCGGGTCAGCAGATCCGAACAGACCGAAGCCTCCTGGACTTCTGGAGCCAGAGCTAGATGATCCTGATGGATCCTTATCCATCTTTAGGTTGAGGGGTTCGTACACCTCAACTACACATAAAGACAGCTTATAGGAATAGTTTCGCGCAACTGTTAGCCAATGTAATCTGGTCCTTAGACGGCAGTAATAAGATCAGGGAAGGACTCAGTCTAGACTTACATTCATTTGGACAAGTTACATTTGCAATCGGTCATTTTTACCCCCAGAACACAATCAAATAGTTAATTTATTCAGTATGAAGTAACTCGTGCCACAACTGCATGGCGAATGTTTAACCTGACCCTCCTCTTGTTTGCCGTAAAGTAAACTGTGGACGGTCATCCTTACTACCCATAACAGACAGTTCTCATCCTTCAGACTCATACGTTAAACATGTTTACTATGTTATAATATTAAAAAAGCACAGTTGGTGTGGGGATGGTCACGATGGTGACAAACTGTGGATTTGAAATGGATACTTGCAAAGCTTATCGAAGCACACCCACGGCGGTTTTTGCGACAGCAAACGATTTCTGGCCAGATCAATAACTGAAACTAAATCGATTTGAAACAGCTGATATATTGTATATTAATGACTAAAATTATAACGTATCATATAAAACAATGGTCACTTTCTCCCTCTCTGTATATAGGAGGAATATGAACGTTATTGGATCATTAAATTGAATTAGTGATCAGTAGTCAGTAGTAATCAAAGGAAATCCCTTTTTTATTTATTTTGCTTTGTAAATATTTCTAGCATTTAAATCGTCATAAAGAGGAAACTAAATATAATTGTACATATTTGGAAAGTGATGTAATGGTGATACAATTGTCATTGGCCAAAAAAAGAAAGAAAAAGTAGGCTTATACAGTTTACAGTGATTCATCAAATATACATAAAAAATACTCTGGCAGTTATTTATGTATTATTATTAATTATTAATTATTATTATTATTATTATTATTACATACATTTAACCAGTTATACTTAGCAAAAAAGTCCATGCTATTTGGAGATCCTCTTATATGCATATAATCATAAGAAAAAAATAGAGAGACATATCAATTAAAATACATATATGAATACTAATTATATTTATTGTCATAAGCATGTAATTTTAAAAAGGAAATGCTTGCACATTATTTAGGGTTTTTTTCTGTTACTAGGGAAATATTGTATTAATCCGTAATGAAAAACAATTTCAGTCATTTCCAGGCAGTCCCTTTTAATTATTTTGGGTATATCACAATCTCAGAAAACATACTGTATTGCTTCTGTTTATCATATTCACAATGGAATGCGGAAGTCGATCCACGTGCTTTATACATCAACGGTGACGCGTCGAGCCAGAGAGAAAAAATGACACCCGTGACGACATCGGGATGATCTGACAGAGGTGCGGCAGAACCGAACCGATTTCCATCGACCAAACTGCACATTAAATGCTTGGTAATTACTTTAAAATAAATTTTTTAACTGATTTAGCTGATTTTAAAATGTTTGAACAGTGGATGCTTCTGGTTAATCAATCACAATGAAGTGCAGTCATGGGGACAGGAAGACGCGCTGTGATAATATTAGTGACTGTATTGAGGAATTTAAATACAACAGATCATACAGTCACACCGGCCATATGTCACTATTCTCGGAGTCTTTATAATACCTTCGTCTCTCTCTGAAGCGTGTTGTATTGTTATTTCTATAATTGAAGCATCCGTTTCTTATAGAATAACCGACCAAAATGTATTTTAAGCACCGAATGGCCTCACGGATTATCTGTTTTCTCTCATGCATAGATAGAAATGGTCATTGATTAATATTTATTCTCGAGCAACCGTAAGTGCGGGGTATTTCAGCACAAGCTGGCAGTAGTACAGAAAGTACAGCTTGTACACATCGTATTCAGTTTCAGTTTGTGTGTATCTGGGCCTCGGTGTGAGATATACTACGCTTATATCGTCTGTCTGTAATGCTGAATATATGTGCTGTTTATGGCGGTGCCGATTGAATCCTGATATTATAATAATATATAGTCAGGCTTTGCCGAACACATCCTCCGTGCCATCACAAGGTCAGAGTGAATCATGGCACAGTTCTTGTCAACACTTTAGTATCGAGACATTAAAACGTTCTTGACGTGTACAACTTGAACACGACCCGAGCGACATATTATAGAGAAAATATAGTTGGACACACTCGGTTGCAGCAGCCCTTTTAATCCCTTCCCACAATGCACCGTGTCGACGCACAGTTGTGTTTCCTGTTTACCGTTGTAACGCTTTTGTTTGCCTGCTTTTGTTTTTTGTTGCTGGTTTAAAGACATTGTTTTGCATGTCTTTTACCACGACTGATCAGAGAAGGTGAGTTTATAAATAAATAAGCCTCGCGTAAACACGCGAGATCGCGGCATCCCGCTGACGAGGAAATACCCTGGCGCGCGCGAACCTCCGCTTTCATTTTACAGATCATCGACATGTTGACGCGTTCCGACGGATTTGACAGATTTCCGACGGATTGCAGAACGAATCTCCGGGATAACAGAGCGATTCTTCTGAACGGTCTCTAAATGTCAGAATGGTTCTTCAGAACGTTCTGTCAAAATCATAACGTTCTTTAGCTAAATGTCAGAATGATTTCATGGAATGACGTTATTTTAAATGTCAGAGTTATTCTTTAGAGTGTTCTGTAAATGTCAGAATGATTCTTCAGAACGTTCACGTTCTGCATCTCTCAAATGACATTCGAGGAATAGTCTTTTGTTAATGGTGCAGACCTTAAAAAACATATAAGAGGAAGTCAAATATCTTGCATAGGTCATGAGTCTCCATGCAGCCTATACTTTTTTTTTTCTAGCAATCAACTTGCATGGTTCTTAAGTGGCTAAGAGTGATTATAATGCTGAATATAAATACATGTAGGCTAGTGTAATATATCATGACCATAAAAAAACTACAGTAGTCAACAGTGGATCAAATATTTAATCAAAGTTATACATGAATGTTGAACAATACCTGTTCTTGTCTTGATTAACTTTGTTGACCCACTTTTAAGGGTTAGTTAACCCAAAAATGAAAATTCTGTCAGTATTTACTCTCCCTCATGTTGTTCCAGCCCCGTAAGACCTTCGTTCATCTTCGGAACACAAATTAAGATGTTTTTGATGAAATCTGAGAGCTGGATCAATCCTGCATACTAGTCCATATCTTCTTGAGGAATTGAAACTCGCCGTTCTCGAAAAGTTATTAAATACATCTTTAAAATAGTCCAAGTGATTTCAGTGGCTCAATCTTAACTTTATCAAGCGACTTTTCTCTCTATCCGAGGCAGAGAGAGAAGTAAATGAATAGTTGAAATAAAGTCGTTATTTTTGTTGTTTTTTTGCGCACAAAAAGTTTTTAAACTTAAGATTGAGCCACTGTAGTCACTTGGACTATTTTAACGAAGTCTTTAATAACTTTTCGAGGCCAGTAAGTTTCAATCCCTCAAGAAGCCTATGGACTAGTATGCATGAGTGATCCAGCTCTCAGATTTAATCAAAAATATCTGAATTTTCATGTTTGGGTGAACTAACCCTTTAAATGTTGATTACTGCATTTTACTCAATCCTACTGACACATCGAAGCTCGAGTTTTTTATTTTACTTGCCAGACTTTGTATTTGAACAATGCAAATTTAAAATGAAATATTTACATAAATATAAAACAAATACATTTCAGACACTAATAAAGACAAGTAAACAGTCTGAAATAAAATAAGAACAAATAACCAGTTTCCTGGCTTGGCTGTTACAAGCAGACGATTGGCTGTCCAGCGGGAGGGGCGGGACATGTGCATACAACCGCCATCTTTGGTGTTACGGGTTTTCCCTATACATTTGTAATAGGATTGAGGAAGTGGCTTGTCTCTAAATAAATAGTCTCTGACAGCGCTTAAATCTTCCCAAATCTTCATTTAAAAATTTTCAGTACCGAAGTCGGTACTTTTTGACAACTCTACCCTCTACAATGCGATTATATCACTCGCATATGCAACCAAATTTGACTTTTGAGTGTGTGAGAGAAAGCGACAGGGCGTTTCAGCCAAGTGACGGTGGTTAAAGCTCAGAAGGCAATTACGTTATATCAGCGTTAAACTTTTTTTCCTCCAACTCAATCACAGTTGACTGAGATTGTACAATTTACTAGCCGTTGGCTAATTAAAGTTTTTTTTTAGTCGCCCAGCGTGAAATTTGGTTGCATATGCGAGTGATTTACTCACATTGTCGCGGGTTGTCTATCAACTCAAACAGAAATACTTACATTTTACAATAATTATATTGACAAAGCTGTTAGAATTTACACAAGAGGAAGAGGATAATAATCTGTCAAGGCCGACAAGTTACCAGCCAATAATCTCAAAATACCCAAATATTGGTTGATGTATGTCATCATTGCGTGTACTGATTAAACTCGAATGCTTTTTGTTTTTGTTTCCTACTAGGGTTTGCCGAGGTGTCCATTTAGCCTCTGCTCCCCAGTGAGAAAGCGACAGAAGGGCCGTGAAAATCAGCCCTAATGGAAGAGATAGAAACAGAGCTGACTTGCTCCGAGCAGGACGCTTTAGGAGCAGACTTCATCACGGTCGAGCTCGACACCCAACCCATCGAATATGTGGTCAAGTGGGCCGAGGTGGGCTCAAAATTCACCATAGCCTGTGTCAAAAAGGATCTGGACGAGGCTGGTTGCTTCACCTCGGATCAGATAGTGAAAGTGGAAACGGATGAGACGTTCTTGGTCCCTTACGAATCGGTGTACCCAGAATGTGAGGAAATAGATCCGAATCTGATCCCGACGCACGAGGAGGAGGTGGGAAGCGAATCGGACTCGGGCGACAACACGGAGCCGGAGAACAGCCTGCTGTGCGACGCCGAGGACGTTTCGGATATTTCCTGGGAGAAGGAGGTGTCTCACACTAGAACCTATAAGTGCCACTTCTGTGGCAAGATCTACAGCCACTCCTCCAGTCTTGCTCGCCACCTGCACGTTCACTCGGATAGATCGGCCCTCGCCTCCTCCAAGGGTTTCAGCAAGGTAGGCGACAGCAAAAAGTCTCTCCAGTGCAATCTGTGCGGGGTAAGGTGCAACGGCAAGCGGCTTTTGGCGATTCACAAGAAATGCCACAAAACCAAGAGACTGCACACGTGCAACACATGCGGCAAAACGTTCAATCACAGCTCCAGTCTGTCGCGGCATCGGTTAATCCACAAAAAAGGCTTGGATAAGAGCGCTAGGCCGTTGTACCCGGCGCCAACCCCGGCGCCCATCATGACCCAGCACAGTTTCCAATCCAGCCACGGCACAAACAAACGAACGCCGGTCTCGTCGGGCGAGCGAGAGAAGCAATACCAGTGCGCCCAGTGCGACAGGGTCTTCAGCCACTCCGCCGGCCTCTCCAAACACCAGGTGGCTCACGTGCGACAGCTCCTCAACTCGTACACGCACGGCAAAGACTCGCTCGACAAGTCCTCGGACCTCAAGATCCGCCTGAAGCTGTGCTCCCGCGACAAGCCCAACTACTACACCCTGTGCAAGAAGAACAAGCACGGCAAAGGAGGCAAGAAGAGGCTGTGCTTGCCCAACGAAGAGCGGCCGTACCCCTGCCGCATGTGCGACAAGCGCTTCAGCCACACCACCAGCCTGTCCCGCCACGAGCACACGCACGCCAGCGACAAGTGCTACACCTGCAACGTGTGCAAGAAGACCTTCATCCGCCTGTCCAACCTCAAGCAGCACCAGCAAACGCACGCGTCGGGGAAGCTCTACGAATGCCCGCAGTGTGGGAAAACTTTCGTTCACTCCTCCAGCTTCTCGCGCCACAAGAAGGTCCACGCGGGGATGAAGCTGTCGCCGACACTGGAAGACATTAAGTGCGAAGAGGAACTGGTCATCGACGAGGTGGCGCCGCTGGAATACGAGTCGGACTGAGAGGGATTGAGATTGTTCTGGAAAGTGTTGTGTTTTTGCTGGTTTTTCTTTTACGGTTTGCCCCTCGATTCTTATTTCACTGCATCCCTGGCCGTGCGGCTTCTTTCTAATAGTCTTGTAATTCTTACAGCCCTTTTCGGCCACATTACAGGGGATATAGTAGCAATCTTTGTTAATGAATTTTCGACATTCCCTTTTGTTTTGTTCGTTCAGTTTCTTGGGAAGGTAATTCTTTGCGAGCCAAATTGTGTAGTTAATTTATGTCCCCCTTTTTTAGGTGTCCACAAGAAAAGCAGATGGCAGGTGTTATTTATTTTTCGTGCTTGCACTAAACCTGTGAACCCAAAGTACTTATTGAGGTGTGTGTTGGAGTAGAAGGGGCAAAGGCAAGGCAAGTTTTGTATGCAAGAAGTACATTTTATATGCAAGTTACTTGAATGTTGTTCCATTAAGTGTGTGGTATGAATCAATGATGTCCCCTGTAATTATATTTATGAGATCTAATTTCTTAGACCAACACATTTTTCTCACTTGAAGTCTGGACACACGAAAACAGGTTTTGCTGTTTGGTTTTATGGGATATTATACAGTTTAACTTAAAACTGCTGTGTTAGACCGAACGGGAGTGTTTGACTCTCTGGATTGGACTAGTTTCCTCAACATGTTGTCTTTGGTACTTCTTTCCTATTCAATGTTCATTTGTCAAAATATGAAATCCATTGTGTCCATGGAGGGCGCATTTTATGCTTATTGGACATGGACATGTACAGATGCACTTGAAATGTTGTTCATATAGATTTGTGTGCACTTGATGAATACGAGAAAAGAATATACTCGCAAAGTGTGTGCTTTTTACTTCTGCTGTATATGTGTACAAAGTTGCAGTTGCAAAAAAAAAAAAATCATACAAAAAGATGTTCTATCTGATTTATTTTTCTGTATCTTCATAAGTTATGGAATAGTCAAGGGATTTCATATTTTAACAAGCATTGCACTATTGTATTTATAGACAGAAGCACTACGTATTTAGGAAATTGGAGCGCGACTTTGGATCTAAATGAGCGAGGCACGGAAATATCTTCCATGCGTTTTTAAAAAAATCGATCAAGTGCCGTGAGCTACCTTATGTAAGAGTTGCACCACGTGCATCGAAGACGTGCGGTTCAGCTCATCAGAGGTGTTTTATCGCTCTCCGGTTCGCGTCTGGACTTTCTCTCACCATTTACTATCTGAATTGAAATTGATTAGCAATTACTAACCCATTTATGGTGTTGAAAAATGAGACTTTGAGAAGAGTTGAAATGAAGCACAGATGGCGGTGTTGCACCCGGAATGATGTTATCAAAAAAAGAAAAAGAAAACGCTCTTGGTACTCTCTGTGGTTGTCTGTAGTTTTAATATATTTCCTTTGTTCTTGCCATTGTTTTCAATTCTTTCCAATATTTCCAATGAGGTTTATCCGCACTTCTGTCCACACTCCTCACGGTTTGATTTATGTTTGTCATTTTCTTTGTTTTCGATTGCTGTGGCTATTTCATCTCTCAATGCAGCAGACCTACATCTTATATAAAAGATGTATGTTTTTGTATTGTGTTTGCCATTAGACTATAGTTTAAGAGTTCTGTCTTGCATTTTTGTAATAAATAATTGGTTCATGAATCAGCAGTCTCTCAATATCAGTTTGTTGAAGCTTAGCAGGACCAGTATGGTTCAGTAGTTCACTTTTAAAATAAACTTTTGCTGGTAATTTACTCACCCCCATGTCATCCAAGATGTCCATGTCTTTCTTTCTTCACTCGAAAAGAAATTAAGGTTTTTGATGAAAAGATTCCAGGATTTTCTCCATAATGGACTTCAAACGGTTAAGGTCCAAATGAGAGTTTCAGTGCAGCTTCAAAGGGCTTTAAACGACACCAGACGATGAATAAGGGTCTTATCTAGGACCCTTCGAGTCATGACTCGAAAAAAGATTTGTTCATCATTTTGATGAACGAGTTCGAACAGGAGAGTCACCAACGTGCATCACAGAACAGCAAGGCGAGCATTTGAGCTTAACTTAAACTTTTTTATTTTAATTAGTAAATGAGCGATCGTTTCGCTAGATAATACCCTTATTCATCGTCTGGAATCATTTAAAGCCCTTTGAAGCTGCGCTGAAACTCTCATTTGGACCTTGAACCGTTTGGTTCCCATTGAAGTCCATTATATGAAGAAAATCCTGGAATGTTTTCATCAAAAACCTTAATTTCTTTTCGACTGAAGAAAGAAAGACATGGACATCTTGGATGACATGGGGGTGAGTAAATTATCAGGAAAAGTTTTTTAAAAGTGAACTACTCCTTTAAGATACTAGTCCAGTTTGATGAACCAGTTTACTAGTTAGACTTGATGCATACTACACTTGTGGCCATCTCATTGTCTCAATAACTGAAACCAACAGGTGCCCGTTGCTAATACTGGTCTTACAAGTTAGTCATCTATTTTTCTTTTCATAATTTTTTTCTTTTCATAATTTTTTAATCAGTTACATAAAAATCTTGAAGTGGTCTAATTTGATACTGAAAAGTAATACTGATTACTACTAGTTCTTAACATACTGGCTGTGTTAACGCAACTGGCCCTGATGTGCTGGTTAAAATAAGTCCTTGGTGAAAATGTTGATCTGTCCTGTAGTTCTGTCATCGGCCAAAAGAGGTCAGCACAAGCCAAGTGTGGAAAGGTAACACACCCACAAAAAAACACATCAGCAAATACTGTATGACGTTGTGTTTCTACAAAACCATAGACATATGTCTATGCTACAAAACATACATACAGTCGGCAACGCGTCATAGTTGGGGGGCGTGGTCGGCGTGGGGCAAAGCAGCGCGACCATTTGAATGACAAAAATGTCATATTGCGAGTCATTTATGCAACATTGCAAAATTAACTGTAATAGGTTATGATTGCCTATATTTAATTAAAAACCGGGTCAATGACCCAACCAAATGGCCGGAGGTGTCGTTTCCAGACTATTGTTATCTGGTTGAATCTTCGAAAGCAATAGAGGCAACACAACCCTATTAACGTTACTCAATCAACTTGCGTATAAGTTACTGTAAGTCCATAAAACCATGTCACTCACCAATTGTGCGTATGCTTCACTCCAAACTATTAATCCTTTTGTAAAACGGTGATCAGTAGTAGCCTAGTTGCTACGAAGTTGCAGAGGACTTTGCTGACAGTTATCCGAATTCTCACAGACTGCAGTCTGATAACCTTCAGCTGATAACCTTCAGCTGATAACGCTAATGTGACTGAGACACCCCTTATGAAAAACAACTAAAGGAATCTTGTAGTATTTTAGGACAAAATATTATAGTAACGTTAATCTTATAGGAATATAGCCTACTATAGTACACTTTACTTGAAGGGGTGTGTATAAGACTGACATGTTAATAACCATGACATGACATATGTCTTGAATATGAAGTAAGGTTTATGACAACTGTCATTAAGTGTCTTTCTCTCAATAATGACATTTTGAAAGCAAATAATGACATTGTTTAAGATGTCTATGTTATGACATCTTGACATAAACCAATACATCATAACCTGTCAGTGTCTTTGTCATGACAACTTGACATAAAATTAAGTTAAACTGTCATAAACATGACATAGCAGATTAATTATCAAACCTAAGAAACCAGCTTTATTGGTTAACATTACATTAAACTGTCACGTGGTTGGCTTTGACATTGGCTGTCATGAGGCCATTATATCTGTGTCATGAATATTTTTCGTGACCTCAACTACTAATTGAATTTGTCAATAAAATGTTATAATAAGCCTCATGACAGCCAATGTCAAAACCAACCACATGACAGTTTAATGTACAGTAATGTTAACCAATAAAGCTAGATGGTTTCTTAAGTTTGATAATTAATCTGCTATGTCATGTTTATGACAGGTTGTGTTGTCTTAGTAATGTCAAGTTGTCATGACAAAGACACTGACAGGTTATGATGTAATGGTTTATGTCAAGGTGTCATAACAAAGACATCTCAAACAATGTCATATTTGCATTAAAAATGTCATAATTGAGCGAATGACACTTAATAACAGTCACAAACATGCATTAAAACTTCCTTCATATCATAACATATGTCATGTCATGATTATGAAGGTGTCATGTTAGTCTTATGTACACCCCTTCAAGTAAAGTGTTACCGGAAGTTAACTTACTAAACCTATTTTTTTTTCCTTCAATGTTGCCTCCTACTATGTCCTATACGTCAATACCCATTGATGACTAAAATGTCATAAAATCATTGATAGCTAGAGAAATGGGTTACGTTTAAGACATTCTAAATGCCTATTTAGAAATAGGAAGACATGTCAACTCATTAATTTGCAACTACATGTCAACTATCCCTCGTTAGAGTATTAGTAGACTGTCAGGTGTTCGGGTTGGTAGAATAAGTTGAAATGGTTACTAATAGTAGAGTGTCTCAAGTGGATCAATGAGATATAGAAAGCCCCACCAATGTTAAACGTATAACTAAATGACCATTTACCAAAGACTTAATATCTGACTATGATGCCTGAATTGTGTCTGTGTTCATAGTACAGTCATAGACTGCTAATTCGCCAATACTGATGTCATTATTCATAATTAAAGCTGCATTATGCAACATTTCATGTTAAAAATACCAGTTTTTCTAACCCATACATGCTTAAACAATGATTGGGCTGAATGAGCCCTTCTCTGATCACTGTGATTGCCTCTATAATCCTGTACAGTGAAATAAATAAGAGGGATTCGGGACAGAGTTTGAGACTGACCGTGACGTCATGCGCGTTCACGTTCGCCTGGCTATGTCTGGCAGGTTTGTGTATTCGCCGTCATTCTCCGTATCAGCAAAGACAACTCGAGCGACAAAACTTTAGTCAACTTTCCCACAAAAGTAGAAGATGGATTAAAAAAAAACGGCTTGTAGTTCATTCCAAACCCAAGCAACGCAAACTCCACGTAAGACAAAGACAAAACTTTTGTCTAGTGCCAGGCGTCGGAATAAGACGAGAGTCAACATCGGGAAGCTTTCAACAAATGGAGAGATCTCCGCTCTGCACTAGGGCTCAAACGGGTCCTATAGAAAGTAATAACTTACTGTATATTGTTCATGAACGACTGTGTTTCCATAATGATACAATCATAAGTGGATACAGTAAACACATAAAACAGTTCAACATGGAGATTGTTCATTTTGATGAACGAGTTTGAACAGGAGAGTCACGAACGCGCATCACAGAACAGAGCAAGGCGAGCAAACGTAAACTTTTTTATTTATTTATTAAATGAGCGATCGTTTCGCTTGATAAGACCCTTATTCATCGTCTGGAATCGTTTAAAGCCCTTTGAACAGTTTGCAGTTTGCACTGAAACTGTCTTTTGGACCTTGAACCGTTTGGTTCCCATTGAAGTCCATTATATGGAGAAAAATCCTGGAATGTTTTCATCAAAAACCTTCATTTCTTTTCGACTGAAGAAAGAAAGACATGGACATCTTGGATGACATGGGGGTGAGTAAATTATCAGCAAGTTTTTTTTAAAACTGAACTACTCCTTTAATTGTTCGGCAGTAATACATCATTTTTATTACACCTCCACACAGAAAGACCTCCTGACTCAGCCGGGACTCAAACCTTCTTGCTGTGAGGTGATAGTGTCCCCCTCTGAGCCACCGTAAATCCCTAATCACTTTTAATTAGGGTGTCTCACCTTCCCCCCTTTAATTAGGGTGTCACACCTTCCTCCTTTTAATTAGGGTGTCTCACCATCCCCCCTTTATTTAGGGTGCTCAGCGGGTAACTCTGTCGCCTCACAGCAAGAAGGTCCCCGGTTTGAGTCCCGGTGGAGCCAGGAATCCTTTCTGAGTGAATTCTGCATGTTCTCCCCGTATCAGTGTGGGTTTCTTCCGGTTTCATCCACAGGTTAGGTGGGCTGAATATGCCAAAATTGTTGTAGGAGTGTGAATGTGTGGGGAAAATGAGTGGGAAAAACGCTAATGGAAGATGGATTTAGGTGTAAAAATGACTTATTCTCTGACCTTGCACTCCTTAGCCGACAGGGGGCGCTCTAACATCAGATAAAATCACAGATCTGAGAAAGACTCGCACTGTCCCTCCCTGAAATGTGTCAGGGTCGGTCAGGCGGCCATGGGATCCCATCAGATGAAGAAATGAAGAAATAAACGTGCGCGAACAGTGAGAGGCGGGGCTGCGAGAGAAAGAAACGGACAGAACAGAGAAAACAAGTTCCCATTTGAATTGTGGCGCTCCAGCTGGGAGTTCTTGGGCCGTCGAAGTGAGGCAATCAAGTTTGCCATTGTTGCCAACCTTGCGGGCTCAGGCTTCCTGGTAACCCTAAAGTGAATTAGCTGAGCTTTTCTCCAAGCCTAGAACAGCTCCTCTGTTCCTCAACAAAAAGCCCATTGAGATGAAGGGAGCGCTGGCCTCCCCAGGCTCTCGGAAAGCCAAACCCGGGGCCGATGAATGAAGCTCCAGCTCCCATTAAGACACTGGCCACTGTGGGAAATGCTGGTGATGTCATTATCAATGCATTTCTTACTGTTTTTGTTGCTTTTTCACAGCTTCGGCCCGCAGTCTCCCCCTTCCCCGCT